AAGGCAAAGAATGCAAAGCAACAATACTTCTTTAATTTTTTAAGTTCAATATTATCTTCTAATGACTATGAGGACACTGGACAGAATGTGGATAGGCAATGAGATTAAAAATACATGGATTTTGGTCCTACAAATCAAAGGAAACAACAGTTATACAAAATTATGTATGATCTTACATATTTATATAACTTGGAAAACATCAGAAAACTACCATAACCCAAAGTGATACTCATTACTTTCATATTGGATTCTTCTATTGTACATTACTTGGGACTACCTAGTCAATACAGGACTAATTTAATATTAAAAAGATTTGTTAGAGGAAAGAATTATTATAGTTAACCATGGATAATCTGCGATAGCATTTTTTTAAAAAAAACTAAACATTAAATGAGAAAAATTAAACTTTCCATATGAGACATTAAAACCCTACTAATAACTAGAGAGTCTGGATGAAGAAGCTACACAATCAGAAAATGTGTCAGCTCCTTTCCATTACATAAAAATAAAAATTTTCTACAGATTTTGACCCGTTAGGTTACATACCCTTCTCACAACATCTGACATCATTACAGTCAGCTGGAAAACAGCAAGCCAGCCAATGACACAGCTGCACTCAAAACACACCCACCACATTAAAAAGAGAGAGAGCATGGGGTTTTTTAGGATGGTTTCAAACACTCACAAATTGTGGTTAGCTATCCCTCTTTTTTGGTGATTGTTTGCTATTTTTTCCTATTCATAGAACTTCCCTTCAAACTCTGTCATTATTTGCTAATTGGGATCACAGATTCCTGATGTGCCCCTGAATGATAAAGCTCATGGAGATAGTACTGTCATAAACTTAAAGCTAGGAGGGGGAGAGGGGGAGCAGGAGGTTGGACTATAAGACCTCCAGGATCCCTTCCAACTGTTATTCTGTATATGACCAGTGCAGTGAAATTCCATTAATTCAGCTTTCTTGTTTCCAGAAAGAGCCAACCTGATGCTTTGGGGAAGATTCCAAGCATAGTATGAAAGCAACATTGTTCAGCTATTTTGTCCCCAGATCTTAGTATTCATGGAGGTTTCCTTTTAGTTATGAGTAACAGCCATTCATAAATTGTGTTCATTCATCAGTTGAATCCTTTTAAAGCCACTTAAGACAATGCCAAATACTGTATCTTGATTATGTTTTCATAATACACTGAGTTCAAACTATCCAGCCACATTTTGTCCCAGTATGATTTATGAACTTAGCTTGGTATTTAATTAATGCTATAATATGTAATGCATAGTAAGAAAAATTGATTAAATAAACTGTGGTTAAGATAAATTCATCATGCAACTTTAGCCTATTTTCAATACCAACATTTTCCAACCTGATGTGTCCTTCAGATATTCTAGATTATATTTCCTGTAATTTCTAGGGTTTAGCTAGTTCTTAAGGCAGCCTTTTATAATAAAAATGACCTCTCTTATATTCATCAGATTAATATTAATACCAACAAAGGATAGTTTCATACTGAAATACGATGCTACAATTTAAATTTAATGTATCACTTCTTGGTGTTATTATAGCAAGCAAGCAGACCATTATACAATGACAATATGTACTTAGTTTATAAGAAAATGGAAATATAACAAAGCTGATTCAGAAAATGGTTGCAGCATGGAAGAACTTTGCCTTATTAATATTGTAAGGAAGAAATTGCTTTGCAGATCTACTTGGGCTATTCTAATCTGTACTTTTTTAAAAAGTATAGAGAAAAGGTGTGAAAAAAGATCATCTATTGTTGCCAATAGGGAAGATTTAGTTTATCTGAGGAAGTGACAGTAGAAGGAATGGCAGAAGAAAGTGATTGTGCAATGTTGATTTTATTTTATTTTATGACTCAATGTATATGTCACTCCAGTTCAGTCTAAAACTACATGGAATCAAACATTTTGTATTTCAAAAAACCTGATGTTAATAAACTAAGAACAATGATAAATAGAATTGCATGGCAAGAATTAATGGAGAAAAGAGATTAAGATACATGAAAGTTGCTATCAAAATACAATTGCAAACCAGACCAACAAAAAAGCATTAACAGAAGAAGCCAATGTGGCAATACAAAAAAATTAGTGAAGATCTGAAAATAAAAAGGCATATATAAATATGGAAAGAAGCCAACACATGATAGAAGATTACAGATAGTAAAAACTATAGAAATGACATCAGAATGAGCTAAGGTTACTGACCACTGCTGAGAATAATAACAAAAAACTTTTAGGCATTTTGAAAATAAATGAATCAGTAAACCAATTGCTCAATGAAGGTGACCAAGGAGTTGTCAAAGTGGGAGAGATACTTAATTTTTGTTTGTCAGGAAATTGTGAACAGCAAAATGAAGGGTCAGAGGTGAAGCTTTAGATTAAATGGACAAGGAATACCTCTTTACTTTAAATGAGTTTCAATCTCCAAGACTTGATGAACTACATTCCCTCAGGTTACTTCCCCCAGAAATTGCTAATAATTGGGTCAAGAGTTTATGTACTACTCTTGAGGAATTACGGAAAACTGGTAAACTGCCCAGTAAGTAGAAGAGTATCAACAGAATGCCCATATTCAAAAAAGGACAATCCAGGGTCCTCTAGATGTCTGTTTAACATCAATAAATGAGCTTTTAAAGCAGATAATAAAGAGACTGATTTGGAAACATCTTGAAAATATAAAGTAATTATCAGATGTCAGTAGGGATTTGTCAAGTACATTAGGAGATGACCAGGCTGAGCCTGAGGGAGCTGCAAAAAAGTGTCATCAATCTCCCTTTATGCCCACAAGAAATCTAAATGCTGCCTACCTTGAATTCCTTTGACTCTTACCTGCTGCCTGTTTGCTTTGACAGTTAGTAATTCAGATTTTGCAATAAACCGTTATATTAATTTGAACTGCCTGGGATCCGTGATTTTCCCATGCTTGACAGAACACTTTGCTAGATTTATCCTGCTTTTTGTTACACAACTTCTTTAATACCTTGTGGGAGATCTGTAAATATAATATTTCTTAAGTTCAAGAAAATGTTTAACAAAGTACCCTTTGGTGTTTTGATGAGTAAGTTAAGCATGGGTGGCACATGACTTAGCTGGCTCAAAAATCATGCTTAAAAGGTGTTTATTAATGGTTCTGCCATTTGTCAAAAACCTGACTGAGAGTTTAATTTGGATTTCTGTACTAAGCCTGTGATAGGATTCAATGGTCCAACCAGTCTCTCCCAACTGTATTACTCTATGAATCATGGAAACTAAACAGCCCTGGGAAGCCAAGCCAAAGTGATACAAGATGAATAAGCATATGACCTGCATCACTGGCAGAAACAGAAATGTTTAATTCATATTAATGTGGAAGCACGGTCTGGGGACTGAAGCCAAGGCCACACATATCAAACCATTATTTTTAAACTGTGGTTTGCTGGAATACCAGTAACATGCAAAACCAACAATGAAAACTATATCACACTTTGATCAATGCAATGTATGAATTATGAAAATGATTCTTGCAAAACAGCTGCATCTTACAAAGCTTCTGCCTTTTAATAAAACTGTTAGTCAGAAAAGGTGCTACCAGACTGCTGATATTTTGCCACTATAGATTAACATAGCTCTCCTTCTACAATGCCAAAAGAGCATACTAAAGTAGCATTGGCTGTTCTTGTTCAATACAATAACCCATTGTTTGCTTGCTCCTGTCTTATTGAATAACTTAGTTCACTGGATACACATAACACAATGAATCATAAAGTAACCTCACTAACTGCTTTGCACAATACATTGAGTGATACTATGCCAATTATCTGCTGCTTAGCAGGTTGTGTGAACCCAGCCACTGATTAGCAAATGTAAGAGTCCTGGTATACTGCAATAAAGGTCTGTTTATTCAGTTTAATATCTTGTAAGATTTGATTCCTGTGATCAGATTTGAAGGGAATATCATTCCATCTGGTCTCATGTAAATTATGCAATATTTATTGCGTCTATAACCTTCCTATGTGGGTAAAGTGCACTGTCTCTTTTTATAAAACTGATGAGAAAGAAAGTGTCTTGTTCAAGGCTGTCCATTGAGTTAATGACTACAAAAAGATTAGCCAGGTTGAAATAAAAGTAGCATTACACAGAGTGCCACAGACAACCTTACAGACCAGTAAGGTGGACCTTAGACCATTACCATTAAATCCCTTTTATGATGTGGAAGTTATATCTGCATGTTTTAACCTGGCGACTGGAATCTTGAAGAGATTCACCACAAATAGTAATTATTATAAATAATGCCCTACATGATGTACCAACATCTAATTGACCTTATCTCAGTTTGGAGGATAAGTAGTCTGATAGGTCGGGAGACCTCCTCAGAACCTCAGGACTGTAATCTAGACTTGAATTGAATTGAAAAAAAAAAAACACCACAGGAAGCGATCAGTAACAAACTGCTTATCTGTGGTTGCTAATGAAGTGATACTGGGAGGGCTTAACTTGAAGACTTTATTAGAAATAATATTGCATATTATATTGATGTTTCCCCAACTCATTTATTCATGGCTAATAAAACCTTAGTTAAGGTTACTTAAACAAACATTCTGAGTTTATAAAGCATTATGGAACCATCAGTTGATCACAAGGCCTGCATTCACACAGCACTCCAGATTAAAAGTGACTATTTTGTGATCCAGTGATGACTCAGCCACTGTTCCATTCAATCTCCTTTTATAATGACTGCAAGCTTCAAACTAATAGCATCCTGAAGCTGCTGCTGCTGCTTTTTCACATCATTGCCATTCTCCAACCCCAGCTTGATTGGATGGATATCTACTCTGACATTAAGTTGAATTAAAATGCCCAGGAAAGTTTGTTTACATTTGCAATTTTGAATGCAAAACTCCAGAATAAGCTACATCAGTTTTGTACTAGCAATCAGAATGCTACATTAAACATCCTGCTTTTAAAATCACTCATCTTCTCCAGTTTTTTTTTTTTTACCTCACCTCCTAATCTGCGCACCAAAATGAGACGGTAGCCAGAGGACATTCTCTTACTTAGTCATCTTGGTTATAGAGTTTATTCCTGGAATCAAGACTAGCGGTTCTCCACAGAGCAGGGCAACTTAAAGTCACGAACGGAGTCCTTACTGCTCTCCGGAGCCTCTGAGAGCAATTTATAAAAAATACACCTGTGTGGTGGCTGCTTTGGCGCCGGCAGGTGTTTTGCGTTGGTGCCTTCCACTGACACGAGGAGGAATTCCTAGCAACGGGCCCCCTAGGAACGTTAAGGAGACCCCAGGGTTGCTGAAGCAAGGCGAGCTCACTGGAGGAGGCTACCACATTCCCAAGCTGCCGTGAAGATGGCGCAAAAAAAAAAGTAGTTACCGGTCCAAAACAGCAGGTCCGGGAACGACGGCAGTCCCGGAAGGGGAAGGACGCGCTGCGCACGGCAAGCGAAAGGAGCAAAAGTCGAAAAACCGGCTCCCAGGGAAAGGCAGGATGGGGGCTCTAACTCAACCCTGCGCTCCGTCGTTCTCGGCTGAGGAGGGCCACTGAGCGTAAGTGACAGTGAGGTAATGCGAGTCTCTGCAACAACAGCAGCCGCTTTCGAGTCACATGCTTGAACTTTCCCCAACTCCACCCCCCGGCGGCCCTTTTTCTATCCCCGGCCCGATTACTACATCCTGGCTGCGGGGCGGGCAGACCACCCAAAGGCGGGGAGTGGGGGTGGGGGAGTGGCGCGTCTCTCTCCCGAGCTTTTCTCCGAATCGATAGGAGCGTTATAATCGCCTGGTGAGGATTCTTGTTAATGCCATTATTGGTATGTACTGTACCCGTACTGTACCTCAACGGAATCCTGTGAAAGCGGAAGGCTTGCCACGTTGAGTCCCGGTAGTTTGAGCTGTCGAAAATGGTCCTATTTTGGAATAGTAGCTCACCCCGTATTCTGGGACATAGTTTCTTACAGCTGAATATACGCACAATTAGCTGGTTCGACTTTTGTTTTCCAATTCATTAAAACTGTAGCCCACCTGAAGATTTTATTAAATTATCATGGGCAAAGGGTTTCTCTAATCTTTGGTCTTGCCGGGGCTGATGGATTCACCAGATGTGAACTGCTTCTCAGGAGATGTGCAGACTCGTGAAAAGTGACTTTTTTCTTGCATATCTTAGTTAATTTTAGCTTATTTTACAAACTATGCTTAGCCATAAAGAAACAGTTTAATATATTAGTGTGTCTATATTTCTACTCCTACCACTATATTGTATTCAAAAGTCTTGTGACCAAGATTGCTTTCTTAGTCTAATTTGACTATTTAAGGAGTGATCATATAAACCTTCTTTCCCAACCTGTTTCCATCTAAAAGCAACATCAAAATTTTTAACCAGCATGGAGTGGTTGACATCCAGAAGGCACTCTGTTTGGGGCAGACTGCTGTCCCTTTCTCTAAAATCTGCATCTCTGAAATGGAAAAAAAAGAAAAGAAAAGGTACAGCCAAACACTTTTACTCTCATTTTTTTCTGAAAATTATTCAATTTCACAAACTTATAATTAGCTTAATTAAAGCAGTCTCTTTAAACAAATAGTAGCAAAAGTCCTTACTTTATTCCAGAATAGTCCCTTCTTTGTACTGTTCATCATTGTACTCTGTGAATTACCTATGTCTTCAGAATGAAAGAAGTACATTACCCCAAATCAGAGCCTATTAAATGTAATAGCTTGATTTTTCACAGTCCCCAGCTAGGCGAAGCATGCAAATAAGGATGAGCAGCAAAACCTTCCATCTATGATCTGATCTGTTATTGGAAGGCAGTAGACAGTTCTGGTCTAAAAATATGTCATATCCAATCTGTCTGCCCACCACTTAATTTTCTGAGCACTTCTCTACTCCATTTAATTGTTGCCAATATCATTGAAATCAAGGTTGTAATAAGAGAAAATGGAGAAAGAAATATCATGGGAAGCTCAGATGGACTGGCTGGATATCTTGGGTTACATCAAGGATTTCACTGGTAGCAAAGAGAAGTAGAGAAAGGAAAATGGAGGATCAGGAGGACAACTGAACAACCATTGCCATGGGCTTCAAGAACAGTCTTTCCAACCAATACGCTATCATTGATTTTTCCAGCTCCTTCCTGTTCCTATTTCGTATTAGATGCCTCCAATTAATGTCTTTGGCTTCAAAGACATTAATTGGAGGCATTTCTAGCAGGACTACCAGATTATGTTAACAGCTGTGTTCCCTATGCCATCCGTCTGATAAACTTGCAAGATTTGTTTTTCTTGCCATATACATGTATACATCTGAACTAGGCTTGTTTCTCCATGTCAACTAGGCTTGTTTCTCCACTGCCAGAGAGTCTGTTGCTTGCCTTTTATCAAAGCTCTATAGAGAGCATTTTATCTTATTGCCTCTATGTGTGGTTTAGGAGTTGTACAGAGGCGGAGAAAAGGGCACTCCAAAGAGTGATAAAAAGGGCACAAAAGATCAGCGGATGTCCTCTTCCCTCATTGGAGGATTTGTACAACATGGGATGTAGAAGGAAGATACAAAAGATCTTGAGAGACCCTTCGCATCCAGGCCACCCGATGTTTGAGATCCTACCATCAGGAAGACGATATAGAGTGCTGAAAGCCAGGACAAGTAGATTTCAACATAGCTTTTACCCAAGTGCTGTGATCAGGTTAAATGCAGAGTTATGAATCTGGTGGTCTTAACATATATATATCCTGGTTGTACAGTTTTTAATTGTTATCTGTTTTAATTTGTTTTATATTGTTATTTGTATATGTCTTTTGGTGTTGTTTAGTTGTATGTTGCGAAAGAGCACCTTATTTCGTTGTTCTCAGGTTCCTGAGCACAATGACAATAAATTTATCTATCTATGTCATATATGTGGGTATATGCATAATTTTGTGTTTATTTATTTTGTCATATTTATTTTGTCAATATGGAGCTGGTGACCCTTTGAGAGCTGTATGCAACCAAATTTCATTTTAATGTATGCCAATTAGTGTACATTCAAAGTGACAAGAAAGTTATTCTTACTCTTCTTATTCAAGCATGGCTTGAAGTAGGTAGAGGAAAAAGCAAGTGAGCTAGTGTCCAGGCCATGGGGGGGAGGGGGAGGAGAGAAAGAGACAGAGACGATATCTCTGAGTATTATCTTGGTTGACATCTAGAACTATCAAAGTGTTCTGTATTTCAGCTCATCTGAACTGCAACCTTCCAGGAATGCTTTGGAGATACATTGTTTTGTGTTCCTGCCTAATGACAAGTAGTTGGCAAGCTTGACCATTCAAAGTTACAATGGCACTGAAAAAGTGACTTATGTCTGGTCCTTGCACTTATGAAGCTAGATTTGTTTAATGATTGTGTGATTCATTTGAAAACTGCAGTGATTCATTTAATATACATAATAAAAATGGTTGTAAAATTGGATGTGATTCAAGACTAAGCTGCACTTAGCACCAGAAATTATAGTACCAATTGTGGTCCTAAGTTGAGGACTATCTGTACATGGAATAACACTTTATCTCAAGTACCATAAGTGGACAAAGATAACATAGGTGGATACTGAGAACCTTATCTTCCATATAGATAGTATCAAATCCTACTTTTAATAGTGATCCAACCAGTACTAATATGTAGTTTTATGATAGATATGTATAAAGGCATAGATCAGTGTAAAGGCATTATAGTATTTACATATGTCTAATAAGGATATCTGTAAATTGATCAGGAGGTAGCTTTTGTTCCATTCTGTATCATTTTATGTTCCAAATATGAAACCATAATTACCACTAAATTGTTTTTGTTATCAGCGTATTTGATCACAATGTTTACCCATTCCAGAACTAGTAAAAAACCACTAATCCCTGGCCTAGTACTGATTACTTCTACATTCTGTTTCCTATTCTTCAGTTGGAAATTTAGAAAAGGAACTTTCTACAACTTCCTGAATTTATTCTGGAATTTGTTATGTGGGACCTTCTCAAAAACCAACTCTTTTGAAAGTTGGAGACTGAGTTTGCAAAATGTTGCTTAGTGAAGGGTGTAACCCCAACTGGTGTGGCTAGTTGTGTGGTTTAGTGTGTTGGGCAAACTTGGGCACATGGATTAATGCTTAATCATAGTCAAATAAATCACAGGATAGCTTGACATATGACACAGACTAAGCATATGTTTGCTGAATCTTCTGTTTCTACATGCTTACTGACAATCTCAAAGAACTATAAAATGATACTGAGATAGGGTTTCCCAGACTGGTCCTTCTTTATGATTAACAATGTTATTTTAAATAGTGCTTCACCAATATTTCACTTGAACCAGACATATAACTTGATGCTTCTTTTCACAGGTATATTTAGATGGAGACAGAGGTACAGATGAGTTGTATTTGCTGGTTTCCAGGTGTCTGTTCCAGGGATTAGTTGTATGGAAAAGTTACATTTGAAATTTTACATTAAAAAAAATTGAAACTTTATATTAAAAGGTTTGAAACTTTACATTGTATTGAGTAACGCTATACAATCCTTGTGCATGTCAAATGCCTAAAATTATTTGTCCTGGTTTTCCTCCTAAAAATATCAATTCAGGCAGAGATATTTTGTCCAAGCTCTTCAACAAGACTCAGTGTCATTTAGTTAGTACAGTACTATTTCTTATTTCTTGGCAAACAGTTTGATAGTTCTTATAGGCTTAGTTCTTCTGGTATCAGAGCTTTATGACAGTAAGGTCAATGTTTATAATTCAAGATTGGCCTTCCTTGTCTCTTCTTTGAGCAAGATTTTCATTGTCTAAAGAGTTTGCCTTCTTTTATCTAATAACCATTCACCATGCAGCCACCCTCTCAGGTTTCCTGACACTGTACAAATTCTCCCCTGACTTGATCTGCAATCTGCAATATTTGGGAGACAGTTGCCAAAAGAGGGAGGGTATGATTGACACTCACTTGGCCACTAAGGGCTTCTCCAAGATCCACCTATTTCCACCTGGTGGTATAGTGTTGTAATGACGAGGCAGTCGAGGTGTTTGATCATGATCACATGAATCATGATGACTTTATTGGAGTCTAATCTTGTATTTATACACATTTCTAGTAATCCTCTAACATTGGTTAACTTTGGTTGCTCAACCTTTGTTACTGTCTAGCATAGTAATTAACACAATTAACTATCTCTAGTTAAAGTCTAACACGTTTACTTCCTCTCTCTAATCCTTCTTTGCATTCGTGATTTTGTTTGCCTGAGTTGTATTTGCTTTTGTCCTTATCTGAGGTTTGCCATCCAAGATAATGACATTCCTGCAATTACAATTCTACATATCCTCGTTTTTTATTTTAAATGAAGGATTCAAAGATTTATGAATGTATCTCAATCGTAGAGGATTTAAAGAAGAGGAAGTAGAATGAAACAATGCAAACAAATTTGGAATACATTGAATAAAACAACAGGTTACAATTAGTACAACAATAATAATTATAACATAAAAGAAAAACTGTCTGAGCCAAGACCAATCAGGGAGCCAATTGGTTAGCCACTCAAAAGGTGAGTACTGAGCATGGATATTATTTTGAATGTAGGATTGTAA